TACAGAAACACCTGATGGCAGTGATTGGCTCAGAGGGTTGTTCAGCTACATGTTAGTCCACCAGGTCCCATCAGGCTGGTTTGTTGTTTTTTTATATTTCTGTTGAACCACAATTCAAAACCAGCGTCATGATGTTAATAAAACTTTCATTAATTCTTCTGTCAGTTTCATCTTATTTCAGTGACTGAAGCTGGTTTTTCCTCCTTTAATGAGAGGCCATGAACACATGTGGGGACGGCTGTACGTACAGCTCTACTGCCGCTCAGCGCTCTTTTCATCACACTGATTTTACTAAAGGTGAAGTGAAGGCATTTTAAAGATGTATATTTCAAACCAGTAAGGCTTATTTTAAACTGTTTGCTTGTAGCTGTTGGTGTGGCTCAGAGCGGGCTGTGTGGCGCTGACAGGATCACTGCTGGCCCACAACACGTCTGGACTTCTGAAAAACAAATCAAGAAAAAGTTCTGCTCAGGTGAAAAATGTCTGAATTCATTTACAATATAAAAAAATCCCATTGTTTTAATAATTAGGCCAGAATTTCATCTGAAAAAGTCAAAGTAGAATTCCAAGTGTGGAAGTGCAAAATAACAAGAATAATAATTATATGTAATATGTGAAGATTTAAGTCACAGTATTTTGTGTAAAAAGGTCAAAATGATGTGGATTGTAATTCAGTCTGAATAATAAAATAAAGCTGTGGTTTTACAAGAAAATGTCAAAAAACATAAAATAAAAAAAATTCACTTTTACAAAATAATACAGAAAATAAATGTGTGAAAGTCACCGTATTTTATCAGTAAAGATGTAGTTTTACAATATTTACAGAGTTGTAATTTTACAGAAAACTATTATTTTTCTAATGACTTCTTCTAATTATTAAAGTCACATTGTTAGAAAGTCAATGTGTAATTCTGCAGTTCTAAGAATTTAAAGCTTTACGGTAAAATCAAGACATTTTGATGATTTAATTTCTTTTTCTTGTAAAATGACAACTTAATCTGTTCATATTGAGAATAAGACGTTGAACCTTATTTCTATAATATGAAAAAGTTCTGACCGTTGGTACACGTCACATGCTTGCTTAAAGCTCTAACTTTAGTCAGAACATGAGAAGTCTGGACTCATCCCAGCAGTGATCCTGGTCGTCCAGCACAGACCTGCTCCTTGTAAAGAGCAGATTTTAGTTTCCTGCTGTGACCCGGTGACCAAACTGATCCTGTAGGGCTACACGACTGTACAGCACACTCTGTAGATAGAGATATATATAGGATATGGATGCACAGCGGATTATTGCCATTTAACCCACATGATGCTAAAAGTCATGCTGCTTCAGGTTGTTCATAGATGCAGGAGTCTGACATGTATGTTCTAAATGTGCCTGTATTGTTGGAAGGACAACCAGTCAGTGTGAATGAAGGAGAATGCTGAATGTGTTGAACACAAACTGCCAAAGATAGTATTGGACGAGCTCCTCCAGCAGGTAAACGACCCACCAGTGGAGCAGACGATGGAAACGCTGGTTTGAACCCGTCAGAAGTTTATTATAACTGGTGTAGTGAAGCACCAGCCCAGCTCTGTGTTGTATGATCGTCCAGGCTAAACGCGTATTTGTAATATTTTATGGCTCATCAGATGTATGAATGGATTTTTCAAAGATTTTATGACACAGAAATGTTTTATGTGATTCAGCGAAGAGAATGAAAAGAGAATGCTTTACAATGAGAATCTTTTTATATGTTATTTTTGATCAATGTCTGTAATCGAGCAGCGTGACAAAGTGATACGAACGTTCGATCGTCGCCACCAGCGGATCAAGTCTCTGTTTACTCTGAACCTAAATCCAGCTCCTCTGTCCACTGAGGAGCAGCAAAAAAGCCATTCATTCCCAGTCAGTACGAACCGGGTCGCCCTTGTTGCACAGGACATCTTTATCACATCACAGGTCTGCACGTTTTCATACGTTGAACCTGTAAGAACCAGAACTTTAGCCCAGTTCCACACTACTGACTAACCACCGGGTCGTGAGTGTCGCAGTGAGCTGCTCCACAGAGATCATCACGGCTCATTATGGGTCATCTGTCAGGTGAACACGGGGGGGTAACTAAGTGCAGGTCTGTTCCCCTGCTGGATGGAACATGTGCTGATGTTCCAGAGCTCTGCAGGCGCTCTGCTCACGGCTTCACTTCATCATGTCTGTGAAGGCACCACGTGCTCAGGCTGACTAGTGTTTAGTGTGGAAATGGGTTCAGTTCATTTCTGCCACATCGTACTTTAACAAAGGGCAGATCCAGGTCTAGGACTTATAGGATCCACGGTCATCAGAAGATCAGTCAGTCCATCAGAGTCGGTGTCATATATATTTTTTGATCTTGTCATAATATAAACTTTGTTCTTACGATCATTCAATAAACGTGTAGAATGTAAACGTTGTTGTGAGTGTGTACGTACCAATAACTGGCTTCATGGCTCCACTTCAGTCAAACTATTAAACTTATGATAATATCTGTTTAAATGCTGTGCAGGTAGTTTCATCCAGCTGTTTAGTATCAGTGCTGTAGCTACACTGTTCAGGCACAACATCAGTCAGGAGCTGCTTTAGGCTGCAGCTTCAGATTTAATTGTCTCCTGCTAACAGGAAGTTCAATCGTCTGGATTATTCTAACATAATGTTCATTACTTGAAGGGTGACAAAACAAACCATCCATCCATCATCTCTACACCTTCATCCTCACTAGGGTCATGGGGGGCGGAGCCTATCCCAGCTGACTCAGGGTGAAGGCAGGTTCACCTGGACAGGTAACCAGTCTATCACAGGGCTACACTTAGAGACAGACAACCAAGCACACTCACATTCACACCTACGGACAATTTACAATCACCAATTAACCTCAGCATGTTTCTGGACTGTGGGAGGAAGCCGGAGAACCCGGAGAGAACCCACGCTGCACGGGGAGAACATGGAGACTCCACGCAGGAAGATCCCGGGTGTCCTCACCGGGACACCAACCGGCGACCTTCTAGCTGTGAGGCCACGATGCTAACCACTGAGCCACCTGCAGCCCTTGTTTGCATCTAAACAGCCAAAAATCAAAATGACAACATGAGAACAGCGTGTAAAACATTTCTCTGGTGCTAAGCAGCCTGTAATGTAGGAATTTTGTTAGTTAAAGCTGTTAGTCTCTAAATACACATCACTTGAGCGGGCACACCTGCAGAGGAGCTCGTCTTAACCTGACAGGAGGTGTCCTCTGGTAGAGGGAGGAGAGGACATCAGACATCCTTCTCCAGGGTACCGTGGATTACTTTCTTGGACCGGTCTCAGTAACCTACATCTCTCAGTGAGGAGACGCTGCATGTCTGCCACATTTCCCACCTCAAGCTTCCCAAAGTCTTGCTGACCAACGTGTGATTAGACCTGATGGTGCATGAATGAGCTGCATGGACAAGAAGATGCTCGGTGGAGATATCTGGAGCTTCTCCCCCCATAGCTCTTGTTGAAGGTAGCCTACTATGGAGCAGCTAGATCAGAACCACACGGTGAGTTCAATCAGGAAACAGCTTCGTCTGTGTATTGTGTATGTTAAATGAATTCAGTCCCCAGTAGTGCTCCTTATACCACAGAGCGCTGCCGTTCTGAAAACTGCAGCTTTGTTATCGAGCTTTCATTTGTGTAGGTCTGTGTTGGGAAGGACAGGTGGAGCGACTGCTCATCAGGAAGTTACACACAGACTGAACACAATAAGACACCTGACAGGTCCAGTACCTGAGCAGCAGCCTGTCCTCAGGTTGTTCCTTTCCTGTGTGTGGTAATGCTGACATCTGGAGGTCACTGTGTGACATAGTCGACCAATGAAAGAGCTGAACGGGCAGAAAGCAGAAGGTAGTTTCCTGTTTCTATGAGCAGAGAGGTGCTCCTCTGGAATGAGCCTGTCTGATGACAGATGACATGCATGCTTTATATAGATGTCAGATCATTTAACGTGCTTCTTTTAAAGCTTTACCTCAACACATGATTCAGATAACGTTCATTAAATGAATACGTAAACATAGATGCTTCCAAGACGTACCTTTGGCTCTGTGATTCACAGGTAACACGTACATTTAAAGTGTGTCTGCTGGACACAGAAGACCAGCTAACTCCCTCATCTTCTCAT